TTAATACTTTTTTTGTTAGAAAAAGATACCATATCTTCTTTTGGTCTGTTGGTGACAGACTAAGCTAAAATTAAACTAACATGAAATCAAAAGGTTTTTTATAAATCACAGTATAAAGATATAAAAAGGGACCCCCCCCAAAACTGTATATTTTAAAAAGTTGTATTTAAAAAATTATGTATTTATTCTTACATATTTAAACTTTGGTCACCTTCACTATTCTCCATTGGATATAATACACCTATCAAGACACTTTTTCCATAGCTCACAAGTTTCTGAACTCATCAATTCTGATGCCTTTTAGTGCTTCTGTTGTTTTTCATTTCACCTCTTCCATATTAGCAAAATGTTTCCCTTTGAGGATTTTTTTCATCCAGAGAAACAAAAAATGTCACTGGGTGTGAGATTAGATGAATAGGGAGGGTGGGGCACAGAAGTCATGCTGGTTTTGGTCAAAAACTGGTTAACACAGTGCAGTGTGGGCAGGTGCCTTGTCACAGTGGAAGAACCAGTCACCTGTTGGCTACATCTTAAGACATTTATTCTGTAAATTGTGACTCAACCTTCTCAAAACTTCCAGATGAAAACTTTGGTTGACTGTTTGAACCTGAGGAACAAGTCCCAAGTGTACTACAAGGGGCCTGCCTTCCAAAAGATAATTCTGGGGTTTTTAGGGGTCCTCCTTTGTATTACTGGATTACCTCACTCTGGCAAAATTTCCTACCCTAGAAATAATTTTCAAATCTTAAATAACTGAGTGTTGAATTCATGACCATACATTTAAAAATATTCTCAATTTATCCACTTCTTAAATAATTTTCTCACCTATGTGTTAATATAACGAAAATGTCTGTTGTCAACATTTAAATACACAAAAATACCCTAAATAAAAAACAATTAAGATATTCCTGGAGTGGTAAACTGTAGCCTAACATAGCACAAAATATCTGTAATCAGTTGAAATTTCTTTTCCTGTTAAAGTCTGACAACCATTAAGAGTTCTGTTACTATAATGTTGGAAGGTTACTTATTTTTCCTACTTTAAATAAATAGTAATCATTTAACAATCATATTCTATTACAAAAACAAAATATTTGCAAGTAAATATAACTGAAAGCATTAAGCACTAAAGCAAACACAAAATTTCAATATTAGGTCAAAAATTAAGCAGAAATAGGCTTATGATGACTCTCATTATAAAACACGATTTATTTCCCAAAATTAGCTATGGCTATACAGTATTTTTTTCCCTAGGATATTCACTTCCCTCTATACTAAAAATGTCATTCAGTATATATTTACTCAATACTTATTACATGACATACTTATGAACTTTATGAATATATGGCAGGGATGAATCCTTTAGCAAATAAGGCTAGACCCATGCTAGACACTGACAAGAGTTAGGATAAATACTATTCTTATTTGAAATGAGGACCACTTGCCTTAGTGATTCCAGAGCCACAATCAAATACAAAAATTCTAACCTCCATGTTAAATGCTTTTCCTATAAGTTCATGGTTCCTAAGTCATATAAAAATTTCCATTTAAAAAAAGGTTTTCATATGTACAACACACTTCTTACTTTACTTTTCAATGAAATTCTAATTGCTTCAACAATAATATATGTTCTCTAATCTAATAAAAGTAAATTTCTTTCTTTATATGAATGCATACTTTATTTAAAAGTGGGCCTATTGGGGGTAAAAAGAAAAATTTTGGATCCCTTCTTCTCTCCTCTCTCCAGACAATTATAAAGAAAATAATGTCAAGTCACATGACAGTTAAGTTCAAACTAGAAATACATGATATTAAACTACTTATTTAATAAAAATAAATTACATTAAACCAATTAAGGTATTTTGCAACAGGCTAAACACATTTTAGAAATGACTCTAATAAGGAAAATAAAAGTCCAGACAGCTAAAATAACTTTTCTTGCCAAAATGACATGCTATGTTTAAACTCAGGAACACTGTATTTCCAAACCATTTAAATACATAGATGCAGTTCAAAAGATTTCTGGGCATTCACTAAGACAAAATATAAATGTGAGAAAACACAGTACAGTGGATTCTTACTAATGCTACTTAAAGATCATACCTTATATTACAGAATTTCACAGAAGATAGAATATCTTCCTATCTTCAGCTCAAAATAATATATTCTACCTTCAACTCAAAATAATTTATTACTGAATCCTAAACAATTTATGAACTAGATCAGATCTTTTTATGATATTCTTGAAATAATCCTACTCACAGACTTTAGTAACAAAATTACAAGGCTCCACAAGCTCTCTAACAGGGCAATACATTTTTTTTCATAATCACCTTCTAATAAAGACTTTCAGTTAAGAATAACTTTTTATAATTCATGACAAAAACTTCTACTTGGTAACTTTTGTAAAAAGTTCAAAACACAACTATAATTTAAAATGTGTCTAAAAGCCAGGCTCTAAAGACCTAGGGAAGATTGGCCTTCTCAGGTGTTTCAAGTGAATGATTTTACAAGAATGAGTTTGATATTGTATCTTGAACAACTACAGGGAAAATGAGCTGTTGTGCTGAATTTGTAAGTTCTTACATAATTATTTCATTAGTAACATATCTTGGAGAATATAACAGCAAATGGCCATCTTCTGTCTTATAAAATTGAATTAAGACATTCATCTTAAACTCAAAAGTGCTGATAAACATTCCTGCTTAAAAATAATAAATAGTGAAAAATAGCACCTTTTAATTCATGACATTCTTTTCATAAAATAACAAGTACTGTATTATATGTACTAGAACAGTAATCCCCCCAAAAAGCAAACTTCAATTATGGGGTAGAATATTTTTCTTTTTTGTCAGACTGCTTCAGAGTGGAAAGCTTTTTCTTCTCAGAAATATTTTTAAACACAAAAATACACATTAATAATATCACATAAAAAAGTTATTTTTCCCAAATTATACTTTTTTTTTAACTTTGACTTCCTGGACTTAGTTCTCCTTTATAATAAATTCATGGCGAAAATATCTTTGAAAGTGCTTTCTCATTTAATTAACAAAAAAAATTCCTAGGTAAAACATATTTGTCCTACAATCACTGTTACAACTACAATCTACTTTCTAAGCAATCAACAGTGTACAACAAAAGAATGCTCTATTTTTTACTCAAACTATGCTTGTATTTTTCATTTGAATGTGATTTTAGATTTGTAAATGCAGAATTTACACATCTAGTCATTACTTAATCTCAGAGAAAAGAGCATTCAACATCAGGGAAAAGTAATTTGTTCCCACTTTTAGCTATTTTTAAAAAGTTTAGAAACATAAAATTAGGCTAAATGAGTTCTATTCACAGTTATGTTTACATGTCAAAATTAACATGCCCAGTGAATACACTCAAAATACACAAAGAATTCAAAAACTAACATGAAAAATCTCACCCCAGCAGTTCCCTCATCTACAAGATAGGGTTAGGCCAAATAATTTCTCAAACTCCTTTCAATTCTAACTTCTTTATGGGCAATGGAATCAAATACCAACTACATTTAGCTTTAAAAATATGTTACCCCACCGGGCTCGGTGGCTCAGCCTATAATCCCGCGCCTTTGGGAGGCTGAAGTGAGTGGATTGCCTGAGCCCGCGAGTTCGAGACCTGCCTGGGTAGCAAGACCTCATCTCCACAATAAATCAAAAAAATTAGCCGGGCGTGGTAGCGCATGCCTGTAATTCCAGCTACTTGGAAGGCTGAGGCAGAAGGATCACCAGAGCCCAGCAGGTCGAGGCTGCGGTGGCTGGAAGCGGCCACTGCACTCCAGTCTAGACGACAGAGTGAGACTCCAACACACACACACACAATGTTACCCCAGAAGCCACGTTTTTTTTTTAAGCCTTTCAGTAAAGCTAAATTTTTGTTTAAAATACCTCAGCAGAGATACTATCTCCTCATCTAACAATCCCACTTCTGGGCATTTACCCAAAGATTTAAAATGTTTGTCAAAGAGAGGCCTCATGCCCATGGGGGAGATGATAATCAAAGGGAACATAGTCTCAGATATGAGAAATACATTTGATTTTTTTTGAGATCTATCACACAACATGGTGAATATAGCTAATAATTGAGTACTTCACACTTCAGTATCACAGAGTAAATCTCAAATTTTCTCATTACAAGTCAATTACTTAAGGTGATAGTTAAGTTAATCAGTTTGATTTAATCATTCCATATTGTATTAAAAAATCATATCACTTTGTATCCCATATATACAACTATGTGTCCAAAAATAACATATAAAAAATAAATTAAAAATATATTGTCTCCTAATAATATGCCTACTCAGAATCCATGAATGTGAACTTACTTGAAAAAGATGTCTTTGTAGATATAATTAATAACTTAAGGATCTCCAGATGAGATCATCCTGGATTAGGGTGGGCCCCAAGTCCAATGACATTGTCCTTATAAGATAAAGAAGAAAAGACAGAGGGGAAGGCTATGTGAAGACAGAGGCAGAGATTGGAGTGATGAGTCCATAGCCAAAGAGCTGCAAGGACTGTAGACAGCCACCAGAAGCCAGAAAGAGGCACAGGATGGATTCTCCCACAGAGCCTCCAGAAAGAACCAACCCTACTGACACTTCCAGAACTGTGAGAAAGAATTTTTTAAGAAGACAAGTTTGTGATGAATTGTTACGGTAGTCCTAGGAAACTAATATAATTATGTATCTCAGAAAGAAAACTCCTTCTAAAAGATATTGTAATCAACACAATTTACCTTTGGCCATCATATATTTCATATTAGGAATTAGTGAAAGAGCTTCATCATTTTTAGATTTTAAACAAAAACCAACAATTCCTAGATAAATATATATGAGCCTCTAATCACAATCTATTATCTATGTGAGTCTATTTTGACTTATGATTAAAAATTTTATTTACTGAAATGTTAAGCAAATTTTCAATCAAGAATATTACCTGATTGTAAATATTTTTCCAATATTTTGCTATTTGTATTTATAAACAATTTTATGTTTCTGTTATTCAGGCTTTTGAAGAAAGTCCTAAATTTTCTCAGTTCTTTACCACTTTCCAAAGTTATTCTTGGATTTATTTTCTATGGTTAAAATATACATATAAAACTTAATGTGATCTGAGGATCACTACTGTACCTAAATAAACTCCATAATTTCTGCCTGTTCAGTTGTTTATTGTGGAAACGGTATAACCATTAAGTCTACTTTTAGAGTTCAAAATATTCCTGACATTACCACATAAACCTTTGAATGTCCTGACTATTTGGCCACTGAAAAGTCTTGTTCAGAAAGATATAAAAAGTCAGAAAATTAACAACTGCATAGCAACCCAATTCGCAAACAAGTCTGGATATGGGTGGCAGAGGTATGTTAAGCCTATAAAGAACATAAGGTAAGATGAAGTAACGGAATTCTAGCAGTTTCTGAGGAACTATAACAGTGAGTAAGCATAGGAAAAACATTAAATTCCAAAAAATCGATTTCGATTTCAATGAGTCAGCCATACTCCAACCAGCAAATATATAGACCGGAACTAACAAATATTTCACAGTTTCATATCTTTGAAAGACTCTTTTCCACACATAGAATGTATAATGTCTATTGTCTGCTAGCAAGTATTTATGAGCATAAGTGAATTTCCAAACTAAAAATACAGAGACTAAGGTAATCACAAAAAAATGAATTCGACGTTTCCAAACTAAACAAAGAAAAGTCTTAATTTTGCTAGGAGACAGTAAGTGAGGAAAGGAAAAAAAGAGAGTAAACGAAAAAAAGTAGAACAGCTGAGGAAAATGAAGACAGGCTTCATGACTACTGCGATCACCAATAACAATTCCACCATTAACTACTACAAAAGCACAAAAGAGAAACACCAAAAGGACATAGGGCCAAGTCAAAAGGAAAAGCATACTCAAGTTCTTAAAAGACATGGAATAAGCCAAAAGAAACTGAAAAATTCTTCTAAATTCTGAAAATGGTCCTTTAATAGGGGGAAGTCGTTCTTCTTTCTTCTTTTGTAGCTCCGTTTTCCAAGCTTCAGTTAACTTGTGTGCAATGACATTTCCTGCGCAGAAGACAGCCCAGATGATGTTTGTCTGACGAAACATGAAGCCACAAAATCCAAACAAGGCCGAAGTTTTATGATTTCCATAAAGACACATCAAATATGCAAAAAGTGTAAAAAACATGGATCCTGCTTCTGTATAATAAAGGAAATTAAAAAAATAAAGCGTGGGAAATACTGCTAGTGTTAATGTTGACAAGATTCTCTGGATACTTGAGGCAGCCTTGGAGGAAGAAAAAACAGTTAAAATTATTTTCATGATTAAACAAATATGCTGTTTCTGCTGACCTAATGAAGAGATTCATTTAAAAACTACTTAAACCTAATTTAAATAAAATTATTCAATATTAATCTTACTTCTGGCTTTGCAAAAAATACCACATACATTTATTAGGGGGGAACCCAGAAAATATGTAATTTTTTTTGGAGAGCAGGCCTCTTGTAGTCCAGACTTTGCCTGCCAAGGAATCCATTGGCATCAGAGCTCCAGCTAGCACTGTTGTGAGAGAATGCATTCAGCTTCAGTGGATTTTATTTCCAGAGAGTCTTTCAAGACATTTGCCCATTTCATGATGGGTGATTTACAAGCACGCCGCCGCACACTGCATGAACTGAGTGTTCAGCAGTTTTTGGCCTAAATGGCATGACTCCCATGCACTCCCCTTTGTATTCACCCAATTTCATCCCAACTGATTTTTTTTTTGTTTCCCCAGATGAAAAAAGTTCTCAAAGGAAGACGTTTTGTTGATGTGGAAGAGGTGAAACAAACAAACAAACAAAAAACAGCAGAAGCACTAAAAGACATCAACATTGATGAGTTCAGAAACTATTTTCAGCAGTGGAAAAAACATCTCAATAGGTGTATAGCATCAAACAGAGTATTTTGAAGGTGACTGAAATTTAAACAGGTAAGAATAAATAAACAATTTAAAAATAAATTTCAGTTTTTTGGCGGTCTCTCTCATATAAGAACATTTCCTGGATCTTTTTAGTCATACCTATGAGTTTGGAGCCACTAAAATAATACATACGTATGTCAAAACTTCCATTTGTATCATTCAGTGATTATTTAAGGAGTTACTGAGTGCAAGAAACTGAACTAAATTCTATAGGGAATCTGAAGATGAACAGGACCTAGGGCAGTAACTCCATTTATCCTTCAAAATTCTACACTTCAGAGAACATAAACGTGCATATAGCATTTATGCTACAAACCCAATGATCTTACTTTCTTATAATGAAATTATAGGAACTTTCCTGAAAATAGTGAGCCCAGTCTAATTTTAAATATCTTCTTTTGACCTTTTTGACAAACTATTTCAGAATTTGAAAGTGTTCTTACCTTCTTGAATTGTATGCTCCACTTAAAATAAATCAGCAAATCAGACCATGACATTACGTTAATTAAAATTAAGAACTCTCTATTACATATTAAAGTTCAAAGTCCTCTCTAAGATTTATAAAGACATTCATGACCTACTTGTCTAGCCTCACATCCCTGTACTCTAATCTCATAATTTCAAACAGCATTTCCTACACCTTGTTGCTCAATGCCTTTCTACCTTTCTTATGCTGTTCCTCCTGCCAGGATTAATTCCCAACCCCTACAGCCCTATTCATTTATCAAGACTTACCTTGGTACCATCTTCTCTGTGAAGCTCTAACCAATGCTGCTCACTCTCCTCCCTCCCAGACAGGCTGAAATGAGTGCTCCTCTACTCCTTCCCTGTATCTTCATAGCATCATGTCTACCTCCCTCTCATAACTGACACGCTCAAAATCATCTCTCAAAGTTAAAAATAACTATTACAGTTAATATTTACTGAGGCATTACTATATATCGGGCACTATTCTAAGCATCTTCTATTTAGTGACTCTATTCTTTCATAACAGGTGTATGAGATACATCAGTATCTTACTAGATGCAGACCTGGAGCCACTGAGGCAACAAAACTAGTAAGTGGCATGGACAGAATTCAAACCAGGCAATCCACCTCCGGGGCCTGAATTCTTACATCACATCAAAACTTCTCAGATAAAGTCTGTTTTCCACAACAAAGATGTAAGTTCCACACACACACACACACACACAAAGACTGTCTCATGTATCTCTGTAGTCCAGTGCCTAGCACATGGAATAAACTCAAGTAAATATTTATAGACCTTGTTTGATTTACTGCAAAATATTTTATTTTACTATAAATAATAAAAGTTATTCAAGTACTTAAATACAAATTTCTTCTAAAAAAGGGGATGGAAAACTTGTACTTACCTCTGTAAAATATACATAAATACTAAGTGCTGAAAATATTTTCCACCAACTCTGACAAAATCAATTCATCATAATTGTGGACCCAACTGCAAACAAACCTGTAACAAATTATTTTGAAACATACCTTGTTTCTGGGTTGTACCTTGCGGAAAAGTAAATATAATAAATAGAAGTTGCCAACACTGAAGAGAAGATTTACAAATCTGAGCATCCCAATGGAGCAGACAACATGTTCAGACCATCCAAAGATCCAGCTGGCAGGTTTGACCACTCCAACTGAAACCAGGTATAAGCCAGGTAGCGTAGTAATCATGGGATCCCACTTAAAAATGAAAGGGAAACAATGAAGCAAAAACAAGAGATAATACGAACAGAACAAGCACAAAAATGTCCATCTCAAGTTTCATCTTTACCAACAATCAGGAATTTTGAGAAACGACTCTATGACAAGGTTAAATAAGTGGTCGGCAGATCAGGTGTCCCTTCTAAGGAAAAGTTTTGCTAATTTTTTTGCCCCTGCACCTGCTTGTCTACTGGTTAGTAGACAACAACTTAAAATGCATTTGTTTTCCAGTGACTGCTCTTTAGAAAGCCTGTATTCTGGTGACTAAACTGCAAATGCTACAGTTCTAAAAAAAAGCATGCATATATCTTTGGAACTCTGGTAAGTTTAGAAAGAAAAAAAGTGTTGAGAGGTCAGACCACAGGCTCCATAACCTAGCCAGGGATGGTTCTAAACTCTTTGTACTTAATCTTGCAACATACCCTACAGTAGATAATATTATTACTGTCATTTTGCAGATGAGTGATCTGACACTCAAACAATTCTTAAAGCGGCAAAACTAGTAAATCACAGCACCATGATTTAAGATCAGGCCTTTCTTTAAAATGGACTATAACTCTAACCAATATCCCATAGAGTCTCGCCAGAAGAGGAGGGATAACATGTCTATATTCATATCTATATGCTTGTGCAGTCAAATATATATTCAAAAATCATGTGACATGGCTGGCCGCCAGTTTATCCACTTAGAAGTTTCCCTAAAAATACCCAGAGGAGGAATTAGTGTAAATTGTCACTTTTGGGTGGCCGAAGATCCCTCTGCTCCGCCCTATCCCCCAAATACACAGTGAGGTGCCTGACAGGTGAGATACAGTGAAGCTTTCTGACATTTCCGAGAAGCACCCAACGCCCCTCATGCCCAGACTGGGAGAAACTAAGTGGGGACGGTAACCATCAGCTGCCTAGAGGAACAGTGACAACTCCCCATTAGTATTCTCCCAGATCATTCCTTCCTAGGAGACAGCTGCAGCTCATTCATTCAACAAATCTTTCACAGATCCCAGAGACAGGAACAAAAGATCGCCCAGTTTTCTTTCATGTTTTGAGACTGGGAAGGTGGAACCGGGAAAGTCAAGCATAAGGATGGGAGAAGTCGGCGCTGGGGGACGCTGAGCCCTCTCCGGTCTGTCCTGGGGTGGGGACAGGTTGGGGACCCCACCTGCGAAAGGGAGAAATGGCCCTCGCAGTAGCGCTGCGCCTGCGGCAGGTGGAAGATCTCGTCCATGTAGGGCTCCCGCAGTGCCCGGCTGAAGGCGGAGAAGAGGAGGCAAGACACGAGAAAGGTGCAGCTCAGAGCAGCCGAGAAATAGTAACCCTCCAGCTGCGCCATTCCTGCCCCCATAGCCACCGCCCAAGCACCCGGCCCTAGAAAATTCCGAGCCTGGAAACTGGAGCCCGATACTCCGGATCGAAATGGGCGCGCAGGGCGGGACTGGCCGGTCGGGACCGCGACGGCCGGAAAGCAAAGGATGCTGGGAGAGCGCGGACCCGGAAGGATCGGGACGCTGTTTCCGGAGAGATCGGTTTCGGTAACGCACCGGACGATTGCCTTGTCAATCATATTGCCCGGGGCGCACAGAATGGTCAGAGCCTCCGGGAGGGGCGGGTCTCGGGATCCGTCTGCGCTGGAGATGCGCGGCTGGAGGCTTTGAAAAGGAAGCCGCTTCTTAGCCTGCAGTTCCCTTTTTCCGGGATCTTTTTATTCCGTACCAGAAGATGGCGCCATTACATCACGTTTTGAATCCTCAAGGTCTAAAACTGTGTACATTTCCCCCGTTATTTTTGTTCTTTCTCTCCAGTGATCCGAATTAATAAAACTTTCCTTTCCAAGCATTTTATTCCGTCAACTTTGGAGGGGAGGGTGGGGAGGAAGCTTTGGTTGTAGGAACAAAGATTAAGACGTTCCGATTAGAACTTGAAGGACCAGACACCCTTCACAGATTAATGAACTTCACCAGTTAGGGGATGTTTAGGTTAAATTAGAACTCTTCCAGATGTGGATACTCTCAAAGAGGATTTAGTTAAATTGACATTCCTAGTGCACTTTGATAAGCTGCAGGGTGTATATAACGCAATTTAGCAGGTCAACACGTGTGTAGCCTATTAATTGTAGGTCATATCAACCTCTTCAAGTCTGAATCATTTGGAGATGAGTTACAAGTAAATTAAATGGATAAGCACAGCATGGACTCAGTAATAAAGTGGGAGGTGGTGCTGAAAACAAAGCAGAGCTTCACATCGGAATAGGATCCTGACATGATTTTATGCCAGAGGTTTAAATGTTCCCATACTAGCCATCATTAACCTCCTACTCTTATCTTGAAGAAATAGCAGAAACTGAATAGGGAGGCAGTCAACCTCCTTATTTAAGCCTTTCTTAATTTAAGAACTTCCTTAAATTGGGAGAAACTGAAATGTCTTTGACCCAGAGAAAGAGCTGAACTGAGAACTCTGAAGTTTGCAATCCTAAACAAATCCTTACAACCTGGCTGAGGTTACCTGAGAGATCATTTTTGTACAAAACATGACCGATCATGCTCAAAGCAAAATTACAAGACGCATGTTATCTTCAGCATTCTTCAAACAACTTCTCTCACCTCCTGCCTCAAAACCCCAATCCCAGAATAAAGAAATTGTGTGATGTCTACAAAGCTTATAAAGATCTACAAATTTAAGTGCCTACTATATGAAAGCCATTTGAGACTACAAACATAAGTGATGCATAGTGTCATCCATTAAGATTTTCATGCTTATGATTTAGTAGGAAAAACAGAACACTGCCCTAGAGATATTATTAAGAATAACCCAATGTACAGACACAGAGAATCCTTCCTTACTTGAAACTCCAAATTCTAGAATAATTAGTTTCCCCAATTTTTATGGAGTATTCAGGAAGATAAAGGGAGACAAAGATTTTTAAAAGAAAAATTAGGAGGGTTACAGAAGTTGTTTTTGAGGCAATTTTCTTGACTACAGGGATGAGTAACAAGAATGGCATCAATCCAAGGTCAGACAGAAAGTTGCTGGGCAGACGTCCTCACAGAAGTATTTTTTGTAAGATTGTGGTAGTCTTTGTGCAAAGTTTTGGTTTTTGCAGAGTCTTCTGTGATATCAGGCATATGTGTGTGAGCAAGTGGACTTCTCTTCTCCATTTGTTGGGGTTTGGCACAAGTGACTCTATTTTGAGTCTGATAACTTTCATAGGACAAACTTTACTGGTTTGTGATAACTTTCCAGTTTTAGCCCTGAAGGTCTCAGGCCAGGGAAATTCCTTAGTCTCAGACAGACAGGGATAGTTGGTTCTGTAGAAAAAGAGACCATACAACCCAAAGCAAAACTTCCTAAATACCCTTTATAGCAGCAGTCCTTAAAGTGTGGTCTCTGGACCAGCATCATCAGCATCAACTGGGAAACTGCTAGAAATGCACATTATTAAGCCGTGCCTTAGACCTTCTGAAACAGAAACTGGGGTGTAGTGTCAAGTTATGTGTTTTAATACACATTTAATAATCAATTACAATGCCCTTAGATTCCTAGGTGAAGCTATGCATGCTGAAGCTTGAGAACACTGCAGTCTTCTACATTGCCCTTACTTTTCTGATCGCTCGTGCTGCTTTGCCCTCCCCTCCCCCGGGGATCTTTTCTTTGTATTTTTAATATTTTTTTTCCCTCATGTACAGGAAGTTGACTTCCCCACATTTGACTTCTTAGGTTTTACTGTACAAAGAAACATAAAGTTCATTGCCAAGTAGCTTTGGCAATGTTCCTCTTCAGCAAGTGAAAAGGAGGAATTTAAATATGTACAGTTTAATGATTTTTAAATTATATATGTTCATATTCAGATATATCTATTTTTTCCTCCACAAAAATCTCTTTGTGAGAAGAACTGCACTTTTTGCCCAAATGAATAGCTAAAACATAGTAATAATACAGTTATTGCTGCCAGTTCACTGAGAAACATTGCAACTTCATGTAGTCCTTTGTTCTTAAACTCCATAAAAATTTAAGAAAATCATAAATTGTTTATTAAATGAAATGGGTGTTATACTGATGAAATTGCAGTACTATTAAATCAACCAAAGTAAAATGTTAGAAGGGAAGATATTGACTTAATTTTAATTCTAAATAATTTCACATTTCGATAGACAATATAATCTTGCTAATTTAAACATTTCAGAGTTTTGATTTAGATCTATAATTTGATTGTTACTACTAAAAATCGGTGCTTGTCCAAGTGAATGTGAAATATTGAAGAGGATTTCTGGTGTTTTTTTTTCCTTTCTGTTTTAAAGGCAGAATATAACACATGGACAGCCTTAGGTTGATCATTTGATGCCTTGTGCTGGCTAAAAGTTTGGCATACATCCAAAATTTTATTCTTTAAATATTTTTATAATATTAATTTAGTGACAGCAGAGGTAACCAGAGTTTTTATTAATAAAATTTAGATACAGAAACCCTCACGCATGTTTTATTTTTACCAGGCAAAACAGAAACATCGTATGAGTAGTTTCTGATCTTCTGTGTTCCTTGTTCTCTCTTCAGGTTTCCTTTTGTTCTGGTTTTGTTTTGGATGGCCTTTCTGAATGAGACAGCAAATTATATGAAATGATTTACGTTTATTTAATATAAAAATGAATTACTACATTTTTATTAGTCTTAAAAATGTTATTTTCTGTAACTGTTTTCACGCAAAAATATTTGAGAAAGGTCTGTGCATTTTTAAAAGTGTTTTGTCAAGTTTATTTCCACTAGAGGGTGCTGACAACTTTGGCAGAATCAGACCAATTTGTTACCTTTACTCTACTGATTCCAGGTATGTTTTAGTTTATGTTTACTGATTCCAGCTGTTTATTGATCAGCATTCAGATACCTGCCAAATAAGACTGTCACCCTGGATGGCTGTGTTTGTAAGTTTTTAAAGTTCATTATTTTTTATACTAATAATGTGTTACTTTTTTTGTATTAAAAATCTCTTACAACAGTCATATTATCAAGCAAGAAATATTGGGAGGCAGATGAGAAAACAGAGTCTGATGGAAATGCAGACATGTGGCGGGTGATTAGCTGCCACTTTGGTATAAGCATATAAGCAAAAACATTTTTCTGGGTCCTTCAATTATGTGAAGCATATGCCTTAATTCTTTGAGGAAGGTGAGATCTTTTCATACCAGGATGCAGGCAATGATCCTGGGGAAGGAGAGAAAAATTTTCTTTCTCCCCCTCCCACTGTGGGAGTTTTTCTGTTCTCTCAATAAATCCTGCTTTCTCATTAAAAAAAACAAAACAAAAAAACCCCCAAAAAACACAACTTCTGTCTTTGATGGAGTGGTGCGAAGGTCTTTAGGCCCCGGATCCTGAACTAACTCAAAGCAGAGGTCTGGTGTTAGCAGGGGAGAGTCCGGGAACACTCACTGCCTCTAGAGCTGCCATGAATGCAAGGCAGTTTGGCTACTGTGGCAGGGAGGAACAGAAAGAACTTGAAACCCCCCTCACGCCCCACTCAGGTAGAACCTGCCTACCACTAAAGATGGGCCAGGAGCACCAAAACCTACCTCCTCACCTTCCTCTGTGAACTCAGTTAGCACTGACCTCACCTTCCTCTTTCAAACTAGTTGACACTGAGTGTCAACAGCCCACTGCTGCAACAGGGCAAAGCACAGCGAAAAAATCCTCTCTGAGACGTAGGCTTACAGGGAGTGCTGAAAGTTGAGGATAGAGCAGGAACACCGAGAGAAAAACCTTTTACCTGAGGCCCAATACTCAGTTGATCTCCACTAGAATTTGAAGCCCATCATTCACAATTGTACGTGTGTGTCTGCGTGCGTGCGTGTGTGTGTGTGTGTGTGTGTGTATCTTGATCATATTACAGAAGCACACATTTTGTAGAGTATATACCTAGGATTATAATACCTGTCTCATACATCTGTGCCCTTTCCAGTTTAACTGTTGACATAGGGTCTTCCAAAGTTGTTGTACTAATTTATACTTCTTCAAGCAGTATATGAAAGTGTTTCTTCTTTCATATCTTTGTCAAAACCTGGTCTTGTTCATTTTTTATTTACCCATTCAGATGCATATGTAATGGCACATTATAGTTTAATTGGAGATGAGCACATTTTAATTTGTTTATTGTTCATTTGAATATTATGGATAAAGTTTTATTCAAGTCACGTCAATTTTTCTATCAGTTATCTGTCTTTTGCTACATGAGATATAGAAGTTCTTATTATATTTTTGATCTGAGTCTTTTGTAGTTTAAATGTTTTGAAAATGTCTTTTCTCATTCTCTATAACTTTTTTGGTTTTTAACAATAATTATGAAAACTATTGAACTTATGTATTTAGATGTTTTAGTCTTTTCCTTTATGGTGAGTTTCATTTATGAAGTTGCTATATACTCTGAGGTCAGGAAAATGCAATTGGATAGCATTTGATAGAATCTGGATTATTTGTCTTTCACTTTTAGATCTACACTCTTCCTGCACTGGATTCTAGCATATTGTGTGATGTATGCTTCTAGTTAGTTTTTTTTTCCATAAAAGTTAGTGATTATTCTGGCAATATTTATTAAAGACCATTTTATTGTCCATATTCTGCAGTGCCACGATACCTAATCAAGAAATCAAGGGTCCATATTTGC